TACTTGAGGCGAGAGCTAAGAATGCGAAACTGCGCGTGCATCGATAAATCGGCCCGCGGAAAACTATCGGGGGAATTTAATGAGCCGTGCCGTCTTTACTACTCCCGCGCGCGCGCGCGGCTTTATTACCGCTCCGTAATTTAACGCGCATCGATTTCTTGTCGTTCCGAGAAACTAAGTGCGATAATTCATTAAACTTGGTCGTCTCTCTCGGCAATAAGAGTATGCGCGCGTGTCTGCGTGTGCGTGTGTGTGTGTGTGTGTCTAATCCATTATCGTCTCGCTTCTTTCTCGCATTTGATCTGCGCGACCGTAATATACGAATGGCGAATCGTTTCTCCCGCGATCGCGGGAGAAACAGCCCCCCTCCTCCCCGACACTCCGCGCGATACGATCGCTCGGATAATTGGCGTATTCGGAAATTTTGCGTGGTTCTGCGCGGATAAAACAATCGTCTCTCTCCGTCGTTCAGCGCAAATCGCCCGTCTCGCAGGAATATCGGATGGAGAGGAATCGCGAGAGGATTCAAAAATTCAGACTTGACAGAACAACGTAATGATATTTTTGCGAGAAACCGGTTGAAGATTACCTTCGACCTCGTGTGAAATTTTATTATCGCCATACGTTTATCGCGCTCAACGTTTTTCTCTTTTCCTTTCCCTTTCCTCTCTCTCTCTCTCTCTCTCTCTCTCTCTCCCTCTCTTTTCTCCTTTCATTAGCTTTTCATGCGTACGGAGAGCCGCGTTGCGTGCGCACTGCGTATATAATTTCACATTTTGAATTTCCATCCCAAACAGTGTTTTACCTTGCTTTTTCTGCGCGCGTTCGTTTTTCCCCCTTCTTTTTATATATACCGTCCGGCTTGGCAAATACCGGAGATAATGAGATTTGCATCGCGATGCAAATTCGCAGAGCGGTACTTCCGCAGTGTTGTTCCAGCGGACGCTTCAATTAACGAAAAGTCCATCGATCGCCGCGGATTCAGACGGGACTTTGCGCGCACAGCGGCTTACGGGGAGCTCCTCGGCAGGAGCGAGGAGCTGTGGTAGCCTCGACGTCGGGGCCCGGCGAGACCCTGGATCCAAGAGGGTCGCGGCCGACAGAAGAAACGTTCGACGTTCGCTCAAGGCCGGCCTGTGTTCGGCAGCGCACACGGCTCGTCGTCCGCGCGTCGCGAGGCTACGGAATAAATTGACCGACGTCGCCAATGGTGGTTGTTTATTTTCGAAATTAAATTGAATTGGCCCATAACTTGCCGGTCTATTAGCCCTGGGGAGCGAGCTAGTTTGCTCGTAAATCTCCGGAGTATCGGACCGGCAGCACACACACCCACACAGATCATTCGTGTGTGTGTGTGTGTGTGTGTGTGTGTGTGTGTGTGTGTGTGCGTGTATGCGTGCGCGCGCGTGTACGTGTCTGTTTGTGTTTGGTGCGCCGATGGGTTGCGGGTGCGAGTGTCGCGGGGGTGTGGGTATTCGATTCGCCCCCGACAATGCGTCCGGAAGCTCCCAGGAAATACATGGGCGTGGTGCCGAGATAAATGTACTCTCGCATTTGCATACTTCTCGCCCTCGCGGTTCCCATATCTTCCCCCGTTCCGGAACGTTCGCGCTCGGTTTCTAACTCAGATCCCATCTCTGGCCTTCTTTCGTCCCTGCGCTCGCCCCCCTCGCCGCGCCCGTGCATCTTGTGCTTGATCATACCACGGAGATCGAGATATCGCGGACGGACGGTGTGTCGCGCGAGTGCTCGCCGGCGAGCGCTGCGACGAACGTCCTCGCGTTTCTGCGGACCAAAAAGTGTCAGTCGTCACTTTTACGACGTTCTGCGGAAAGGCAAATCGTCCGTCGCACGGCGAGATCGTGCAGAGTCAGGCGCGCCTCAAGCGCCCGAAAGTCCGATTTTTCGATCGGAGCGAGGGTCGCGTACTTGAAACGTCGCTCGTAAAAATCGAGAAACGAGAGCACCAGAGAGAGAGAGAGAGAGAGAGAGAGAGAGAGAGAGAGAGAGAGAGAGAGAGATATGCATAAATATAAAGAGAGAAAGAGAGAAAAATAGAGCGCGCACGCGCGCGTGTGAAAGAGAGAGAGAGAGAGAAAGAGAGAAAAATAGAGCGCGCACGCGCGCGTGTGAAAGAGAGAGAGAGAGAGAGAGAAAGAGAGAGGGAGGGAGGGAGGGGGGGAGAGAGAGAGAGAGAGAGAGAGAGAGAGCTTCTTCGTACGACGATACATTTTGATTACTGTCGCTCGGGTTGGAAATTACGCGCGGGACGTTGCGAGTGATTGAAATAGTCAGACGGATAATCGAAACCAACGGCCACGTCGCCGGATCGCCTATCGCGGGTAGCGAATGCCTCTTCCGCGAGACAAATGCGGACCGACGGTAAACCGCCGCCGTGGTATTCCCGCGGGATACTCCTTTCGGGTGAGATGGATTTATTCATCCCGCTCGACTACTCGCCTGATTATCGGCACGAATCGACTCGTCCCTGTCGTCCGCTCGCGCTCGGATGTATTCACCGGGTGAATATTCACGTATTTCGCGCTTCAGAGTGCTCTCATTCCCCTGATAAATTCACTTACTATTCATCCACTCGTTCTCGCTCGCTGATGTTTCGCGGATAGCGAGCGTAATAGCGGCAGATCACACACGCTCGGCGCACGAGCGAAGCGACGGCACGTCTGATGATGTACACACACACGCACACACACACTCGGTCGACAAGTCGATATGAGATTCGCGCGCGCGAGCAATCTATTTGTTTGTCGCGCTTTTTTATTTATCGCCCACGCACTTACCAAGATCCCTCGACATCGTCGTGTATGAATATTTCAACTTGGCCGAGTCTCGCCGAACTGCAAAAACGCACCGGTGCGATTCTTCCGGCCGAATAAGCGGATTATTAATACGAGCGCACATAATATAATTTTTCTCATTAAAAGGAGAGAGAGAGAGAGAGAGAGAGAGAGAGAGAGAGAGAGAGAGAGAAGGAGAGAGCGAGACAGAGAGCGAAGGGACAGAAGGAACGGAAAGAGGAGCGCCGCGATCAATTTGTCGGGGGGCAAAGTCAACGAGCATTTTGCTTCCCTTCGCGAAGTGGTCCAATTAATTAGTAGCGACTGTTTCCTCCGCGAGTCCAGAGCGGATTTAATTATTGGCGTTGGTTACCGCCCAATTTATCGTTAATCCTCCGATCAATCCCCGGATTTTCCTCGGGTCTCGCGCTACGAGCGCGAGCAGTGAAAGCGCAGCTTCGAACACGACGCGTTCAATCACTCGTCGAGAGATCACTCAAGAACCTGAGCGTGTAAAAGGAAACGAGGAAAAGCACGATTACATTATTGTCATTCGCGAAATACCGTCCCCGCTATTATATATATATATATATATATATATATATATCATATCCCCACTATTCACAACTGATACCGAGCAACGACATGAGGGCGAACGTGATGGAAGGGCCGGGAGGGAAAGCGGCTTCCTCTGATTTATTTCAACGAAGCAACGGGGGTGAGTGACAAGGGATTGTTTACGGAAATCATTTTCTTCGGAATCGTTACGGCTTACGGGCGCAGCGCTACACCCTCGACGGCGCGCGCGGAAGTTGAGCTGTACGGAAGACTACCGAGAAACTCGGGGAGAGACAGAGAAAGAGAGAGAGAGAGAGAGAGAGAGAGAGAGAGAGAGGGTGCACGGCGCTCCACTCGAACTCGTAACTGCAGTCCGATTAAAGTGTTCCAACACGTTTCGTACTTCGTTCTTGTTCCCCACCGGGTTCCAGCTTGCGCCTGTCGCACCCTACATTCTCTCTAACCCCTTGGCCTGTTTCTCTTCGCTCTCCCTCTCTCCCTCTCTCTCTCTCTCTCTCTCTCTCTCGCTCGCTGGCTCTCGTCGTCCATACGATCCGTATACGCCGCGGTCTACACACACAGCCCCCGTCGATATCGCAACTGCTCGCTCGGCGCGAGTTCGACGCCGACGATTGTTAAACTCGCTCTCGGCTCCTCGAAAAGTTCCGCCTCGGGTCGATGTGTACGGTCTCTCGCATTCTTCGGCCTTAACGATCAAACTTATCCGGGACGACGCTTCGACAACTATGCGAAAGACGACAAGCCGGCGATCGGTGGGTTGTTCCGCGACTGTTGTAACGGCGTTGTTCTCGCCACACGCGCCTCACTCGATCGACGGCACGCTTGTTTGTGTCGGACGAACGAAAGAGATAAACTCGACTTTCTTTCTTCTTCGCAGACCGTTTGGATTACGAGGGGAACGAGGATACATTTTCTTTTTCTTTTTTTTTTTTTTTTTTTTCTTTTATTTATATATCTTCTCTCGCGTCGTGGTCGCATTGGTATCTCGCGGGGGGACGTGACATCCCCCTAGAATTTTTGCGGCGATTCTAAGCACAAGTCGCGCGTCTGATCGAAGATAATTTCGTCGCGATAAAGGCGCAACGCTCGCGATGTATCTCGTCGCTACAAGAGATGTATCATAAATTTCGCACGAATAAGAAATGATTCGTACAATAAGAAATTATCCCTTCCGCATTGGAAATACATCGATATTGCAACGCGTGATTGGTGGTGCTGTTCCTGCGTGTACGCTCGTACGATACTCTTCGCCGCCGATAAGACGGAATGAAATTCAACTGCGCAGATAAACCATCGGCGGATGAACGCGTCGCATGAAATGAGCTCCGCGATAAATGCCGTCCGCCAGCCCAAAATAACACGCAGGAGTTGTAAAATTATTCTAATAAAGCGGGCTTCTTTATTTAAACGGCAGATTCGTACGGAGTAGTCTGGGCGAAAAATAACTTCGGCGCTATGTGCAAATAGCGCGCACCGCTATATTGCGCGCTATTTTGAATGTCACGCGTAAAGGCCAATCTATATAAGACGCAAGACGCGAGTTCATTTCACGATATTTACGCATACGTTCTCTCTCTCTCTCTCTCTCTCTCTCTCTCTCTCTCTCTCTCTCTCTCTCTCTCTCTCTCTCTCTCTCTCTCTCTGGCTCTCCGCGAAACCCGCTAGCCGTAACCGGCAATTTTACGAGCGACTCACTTTACGGTCCACCTGATAAAATGTCGAGCGCGTCGGACGCATAAAGTTGACGCGCGAAGTAGGACTGAATTATTTAACACTTTCCCTCGGCTCTAACTCTAGATCAATCGGTATTATGCGTACTCCGTGTGTGAGTGAATAGGCGCGCGACTCCCCGAAAACGGGGCGTTCGTGTTCAACGCTCGCGTTGAGAGTGTCCGATTGTTGTCGCGCCGCGGTTATATGTTTCCTCGTCCAAGCGAGCTTTACGCTATTATATCTCATAGTTATAAACAGACATATCATCCTGCGTCGCGTATTATAACAATATCACACGCATATCACACGCGTGTCACAAAAAGTGGTCCAGGCAACCGTCCTCATGCATCTGAAGAAGCAGATCGGTCAGTATCTTCATCACACTGTTTTTATGCACACTGCTGTTCTTACAGCTCATATATTTGTATACGCTTAATTCGATGTCCAATGTGAGGTCAAAGTTAACGTGTCTCAGCATACACGGCAAGTAGAAAGCCGCGATAATGAAACCAATGAGGCAGCCCCGCTTGTAGTCGTCCAATATAGCGGCGTACGAGTACTGTTGGATATCCTGCACACCTTCTTGCAGCATATAATCCGTGAGCGCGCTATGATAGATCCTCAAAATCTCGGGCAACTTGTTTCGTATCGTTTCGTTCGTGCAACTGAGACAGAGGAACGTGGAGAGATCGATGACGGGCCTGTTGTACGTCAAACACGCGAAATCGATCAGCATCGCGTCAACTCGTCCGTTACTCTGAGTCTTGAAGAACATGTTGTCCAACGTAAGGTCACCGTGACAGATCGTGGACAACGGCTCCGCCGGCTCGAACAGACGCAGCATTGTCTCTTCGTACATTTTCGAGAACAGGACCTCCAACTTGTCGCAGAAGTGCGCGTCATGGCCGTGATCACGAAGATAGTTCACCACTTGTATCGCTGACTCCTTTAATATGGCCTTCACCAGCTTAAACTCAATGAACTTTATTTTCTGGAACCTGCTCGCGAGATGGAAGAACTCGGTTCGCATTTTCTCCTTCATGACGTAGCCTTTCGCGTGAAATCGACCCAGCGCGCGCATCACCGCCAGTACGTAGTCGTGAGGAACATTGAAGGTACACGGGCTGTCCTTGAATCCCCGGTCCTGGACGTTCTCGAGAGCGATTACCGAGTTGCAAGCGAGTAGCGACGACGATTCGTAGGCGTAGAAGCACCTCGGAAAGTTCTCGCTCGATTGGCAATACGTCTTGTAGAATAAAATCTCGTTACGAAACTGAGGTATAGTGTACACTACGTCCCGTAAAGTAATCCCTCTGGGCTTCTTTATCACAAGGGATAGTTGCTTAATCAGCCCGTTCGTTCTTTGCCTATACTTTACGCACACGAAGAATATGTTGGTCAATAGGCGATGGTCATCCCTGATCAACTCGTAACATACGTCTTCCATGTGTGGCTCGATGTTGCCGATAATCTGCGGTATCACCGTGTCCAGCCACTTCTTGTGTTCGGACATTCTCTCGTATTTGCGACGCGCGTGCCGCGTGATGCTTGCGTTTCTCAACGATGTTCGACCGAACGAGAACGTACAATATAACAATCGTCGACACGAACGACGTCGCTTCGAATAAAACTGCGGCGGTATCGCGAGCTCGTGAGTAATCCGTGAGATTGCGAGCGAGACATAAAGTATCGAACCGAATATGTAAGGCCCGTTCACCGACTACGACTTTGAATGGGCCAATAGCAGCGCGGCGTCGACAGATTAAATCAGCCGACTTGAAAAATAGATAGAAACTTAAGTACGAGTCGATACCTCATTTGTAATTACTTCTCTAAGAGTCGGTAGTCGAGTCGGCCTTCAAAGTCGCTAATTACGAATTTTAGGTACAGTCAGCCCGCGTTGCTATTTATATGCGCAAATTGTAAAATTTCTTTCGCCTAAAACTCTTTCGTTTATCTCGCGTGTTTACCCGACCTATCGTTATATCATTCACATAGTGTGTGTCTCGAGATATACGAGAGAGAAATACTACTGATACAGAAACACACGAAAGTGTTCTCCTCCGATTCTGATAAGCTTGAGACATGTAATAATCTAGACCAAAATAAGAGCAAATTCTTTTGCACGTGCTCAATCGGCACATTTAAGGAATGAAACAGCCCTTTGTAAAAAAAATTGGTATTTTTCTTTCGTAGCACGCATCATCAAAAGTAAAGAAATAGAAGAAAAAGTTTCTGAATAAAAATTTAACGGTTTAAATAATCACTTTATAGAGGTGTTTCAATTTTTCAGAAAATGTTAAAATTTTAAACATATCCTCACCACTTATCAATTTTTGTTATATGTAATAATCTAAAAGTTTTGTTCCTACCAAATGAAAGGATATTTTATACCGAACCCGACCATAATAACGCTGTCGGTTCCGACGGACTCTTCGAAAAATAGATGAGAACTCTTTCCATAAACCTAATGTTACATGTAGCTACCTGTTCCACTTGTGGATACATACAGAATGATTTAGAACCACTTGCTGTCCTTGAAATGACATGTTCTTAAATGAATTCTAAAATGATTTTCTCTCTCGCAAAATGTTATCTGCAGCTTAGTTTTTGGATTATAAAGATAAGTTGTTTTGCTTATTACGGATCGGATATGGAAGGTAATCAGGGACGACACGGTTGATACGTGTAGTATATCAAGTATAAATCTTGATGTTATTAAAGTGTAATAAATAAATAACTCACTTCTAACCTAACAGACCAGTAGTCTGAATACAAAGTCGCATGATAACCACTGGAATGTTTGTCTTACATTTATTACACTTTAGTAACAAAGAAAGCAATTGCGCAATAAAAATATAACAGGTTTCAATATATATATGTATATATATATATATATACAAAACGCCCTATATATATACGAAAACAGAATACTCCGAAACGAAATATATATATACGAATTTTTACACCGCAAATTTACAACGCGTTAATAAACATGACTGATTTCGTAACTACATATATCGCGTTAGTCGTAGTAATTACATCGCACACTTCTCATAAATAAAATATCATGTTTGGAGAGCATAAAGACAAAGTGTGGGCATATATGACTATTGTTGTGTATAAAATATTTAATATTATTATTATTGCTGTTGTTAAATATTGAACGTTTTTGTCATTACATATTCTGCATATCAATACTAATTCGTCTCTTATCAAAAGAAGAGGACATGCCACATATATGTATCGAGTGAGGTAGGCGACTACGTATAGCGTTACTTTATGAAAAAATTCCCATCTATTTTTCAAAGAATATGTCGGAAAATAGCATATGGATTCGGCATAAAATATCCCTTCATTTTGTAGGAACGAAACTTTTAGATCTAAAAAGAAATTGTTAAGTGGTGGGAGTATGTTTAAAACTTTAACATTTTTCAAAAAACTGAAAACGTTGTTATAAAGTAAATGTCTTCAAACCATCAAGTTTTTATCCGGAAAATTCTTTTCTATTTCTTATACTTTTGATGATGCATGCTATGAAAAAAAAAAAATATCGATTCCTTTCAAAAGAGTGTTTCGCCCCTTCAAAGGTCAATTGGGCACGTATAAGGAAATTGGTATCCCTTATTTTGGCCTAGATTACTATTATACAGGGTGCACGATTTATCTGAAGACATTGAAATATCTCGAGAACTATGCATTGGATAAAAAAAAGTGGTTAATGAAAGTTGTTAGTCTCGAAGGGGGACATCCAATGATACCAAACTCGACCTCCCACCCTACCCCCTGGGGGTGAGGGTTGGGAGCAACTTTGAAATCTTAAATGGAAACCCCCATTTTTTATTGCAGATATGGATTCTACGCCACAAAATACGTAAATTTTGTCCGAAAGTTTTATTTTGATTCGTGATAGATGGCGCTGTAATCGCAAAAAATTATATTTTCCGCAATTCTCCAGAAATGATCATTGAGAAATAAAAAGAGGATTGAGAAATAAAAAATACCTGTTCAATATTTTTAAAGAACATAATAAAAGTTATTCCCCCCCCATCCTCTCGGGGTAGGGTGGGTGGTAACGTTCAAATCTCAAATGGGAACCCGAATCGAAGAGGGAACTGCTCGACGCGCCACTGTGAGTGTATGGCGAAAACTACGGCTTATTATAAAAGGCAGTGCAATGCGTCGAGCAGTTCCCTCTTCGATTCGGGTTCCCATTTGAGATTTGAACGTTACCACCCACCCTACCTCGAGAGGATGGGGGGAATAACTTTTATTATGTTCTTTAAAAATATTGAACAGGTATTTTTTATTTCTCAATCCAATGATCATTTCTGGAGAATAGCGGAAAATATAATTTTTTGCGATTACAGCGCCATCTATCACGAATCGAAAAAAAAAGTTTCGGACAAAATTTACGTATTTTGTGACGTAGAATCCGTATCTGCAATAAAAAATGGGGGTTTCCATTTAAGATTTCAAAGTTGCCCCCAACCTCCACCCCCAGGGGGTGGGGTGGGAGGTCGAGTTTGGTATCATTGGATGTCCCCCTTCGAGACTAACAATTTTCATTATCCACTTTTTTTTATCCAATGCATAGTTCTCGAGATACTTCAATGTCTTCAGATAAATCGTGCACCCTGTATATTTCAAGTTCATCAAAATCGGAGGGGGGCACTTCCGTGTGTTTTCTTGTGAGAGAATTGACGAGCGACGGAAACGAAAACAGAGAATTATCTACGAATTGATTTGTATCGCGAGACGATATATTCCTTGGAAATAATTCGTATGAATATTTCCGCGAAAAATAACGGAAAGGAAAACGCCCGGTTCTAAACAGATTCTTGTCCATAGGTAGCTATCTTCATTCTTCCCCATTTACGTCAGCGCAAGTGTATCGAAGTTGCGGCGAAAAGTGGAAAATTCAAGGAGATGATTTTTAGTGCGTAGCAACATCGCGAAGACACTACCGTCCAGTCACGCACGCCAGCACAATGTGCAGTTATAGATAAAAATAGCACTTGTTATCGACTCGTGAGATGGTGTCTGACGAAATCAGTAACTACAACCGCCGACCGATGCCAAATATTGCGCACGTGGCGGAGAAAAAAACCACTGGCGTTTAGGCGCCTGCGAAAACAGTATCGGAGATTGTAACGCAACTGATCAAATCAATTGTCACGCGCGGCCGGTTGATCGGCCCGGTTCTGCCTTTTTATTCCGGAGAATTATAGTTTCCTAGTAACGACGCGGTAACAACGCGTTCGCGTTTTCATTTCGATAATCACTCGGCTTGGCGCGCGAGATTCGAAATTATATTGCGCGATATTTTCGTGTCGAATTTATCTCGCCCGCGCGTGAGACGCGCGTTGCTTGCAAAAAATCGCGATAGTAGCTGCAGAGAGAGAGAGAGAGAGAGAGAGAGAGAGAGAGAGAGAGAGAGAGAGAGAGAGAGAGAGAGAGAGAGAGAGAGAGAGAGGGGGAGAGAGGGGGGAGAGGAGAGAGAGAGGGAGAGAGAGGGGGAGGGGGATATAGAGGGAGGGAGAGGGGGAGAGAGGGGGAGAGAGGGGGAGAGAGAGGAAGAAAGAGGGAGAGAGAGGGAGAGAGAGGGAGAGGGAGGGAGAGAGAGGGGGAGAGAGAGGGGGAGAGAGGGAGAGAGAGAGAGAGAAAGAGAGAGAGAGAGAGAGAGAGAGAGAGAGAGAGAGAGAGAGAGAGAGAGAGAGAGAGAGAGAGTGTGAAGTTATAAAGCGTGGCAATAATATTTATTTAGATGTTGGCGTATATTACGAAACAGTATCGAGAGATTGGCGCGAATGAGAAATTGAATAATTAAAATCAGACTGGAAACGCGCCGCCTGGAATATTTTCGTTGAAGTCTATCGAAATATTTTAGATTTCGCGCTCACGTCGGTGCGCTTTCATTTCTTCCGCAGAGACTGTTATCGTCGAGTGAGCGAGTAACGCTATCGTACGGTCGATCGCGCTTCTACCCAAGACGATTACATTTGCATCTAATTGGGCGACTAAAAAGCGAACAGCCCGGTTGAGGTAAACAGTAACGGCGCTCTCGCGGGCAGCGTTCTCGCCAGATGCGAGATGCGCGCACGAAAATCCTCCACTACGGTATTGTCCGGATAATGCATGTAAATAACGTGGTCCCGTTATCCCGTCGCGCCGCGCTGATCCACCGCGCAACACGGGGCGAGAGATATCCGCGGTAAGGGAAATCACGTAGGCGAGTCAAAGTCCATCTACCCGGAAGGTATTACGGCCGATATACAAAGGCGCACCGTATGTTTTGCATTGCATACGTAAATAACCAGTGACGTAAAATATTGTTACTACGAACTCGCCGAGGTATATACGTGAGCGGCTTTCCGTGCGCGGCAAGTCCAGCGCAAGTTAACGGGGATATTACCCCGCTCGCTCGCTCTCTCTCTGTTTTATACATATATATAGATATATATATATATATATATCTTTGCAAAGGAACACGACGGCCCGTTCGATCTCGCGCTTCTCCTTTGCAAATTTACCTGGATGCGACGAGGAAGCAGTGAAATTGTGCGCGATTGTCGGAATCCAACTTTGCGACGGTCGAGAGACGTAAGAGCAAGTTATCCACCTCTTGGGAACTTTCCCTCCGGCGGAAATCTCCTCCCTGAAAAGCGATTATTTCCTTCTTATTATTAATGGGTTTCAATTGTCATTTATTATTATTAATGTATTTTAAATGTTACCGTATGTTACAATATGCGCTACGTTAGTCGAGGAGAAGAGGTTTCCGCTTACGTGTAAGCTAAACACGCGGAATTCTACATTCGAAGCAAGTCGGTGCTTTTCCGGTCAGATAAAACGCGTCCCCAGGGTGTCTCGGGGGTGGCGCTCTCGGATGGAAATGGTATTCGCCGCGAGGAGGAGAGCGTTACGTGCTGTTTCTTCCTGGGGAGAAAATTCGCGCAATCGCGGTCGACGTTTCTAAATAACGCAACCGTTTGCATGCTGGAAGCTGAATATTGCAGAAAGCCGGCGTGAAAGGATTGAAAATTCGTCTCAACTAGTCGGCTCAGCGATCGTCACTTTCGCACACTCGACCTTATTTTCATTCCACTCTAACCAAGTCCCCCCATCCTCCACCCATATACACACACAAACACACACACACACACAAACATACGATCTGACCTACCGATTCTGTGTCTCTCAAAATCCTAAGGATCTCACCGAGACTGTGAAGTCTGAGAACGCACCAATACGCTCGTCATTCGCCCTTTACGCTTGCCTAGCGTCTCGGCTTCGGCCACATTCAAATCGAATTGCATTCCAAGCAAACGGCTTTCTTAACGCCCGACACCGGACATGTACGATAATGCCGTCGGCGAACGTCCTCTCCCGACGAAATTTCCCGCGACCAAGCAATTCTAATGACGCGTGCAAAAAGGCTGATCAGCCGGGCGCGAGGCGAATGTACATTGCGCTGAAGGCGCTCAACTGCTGGCGCGTGCAAACGAGGCGAGGCGAGGCGAGACTTGCGCCGCCGACTTTCGCCTGA